TAATAATTGTAACTAACCCTTACAAACCAAACTATAGAAAATTAATCTGATGCTCGCTAGTGACTTGATACAGGATGGAGTTTACTGGAGTTCTAGTGAGAAGTTGTGACCAGTGAGGTCCATCCAGGCGTCACGTGTTAGGATGGATCTCCCACCTACGACAATGGTTGGGGTCGCGCTAAATCACGAATTGGTAGAAGTTAGAATTCATGGGCTGGCTATTGAATCGGGTCCCAGTGGGTGAATGGTATACGAGCTTGCTTGCTTGTAACTGGAAGGTCCTGGGTTAGAACCCCCTGTGATGGGTGCGTACTGGTGGTGATTCCCAGACTAGGATGAAACAGCAGCTGTCCAGTTCTCCCTGATTTTCAATGGTTCTCTAATTGATATCAATCCGTGATCAACTCGTAAAAACAATAATTTTATGAAATTAGATTTTTTTATATTCCTTTACATTCCAAGTGGAATTCAGGGCTTCAAGCTTTCGCTTTGAAGTTTCAATATCAGTGGTGTTTATTTTATGGGTTTGAGGGTTGTTAGCTTCACGCCGACCCTCCCCTCTTTGTTAGGATTATAACCGGCTAAGTGAGGTAGAGGTGTGTGCTAGGTTGAGACTTGAACCCCGAATCACGTCAATGGTCGGTCAGTACTCTATCGCTGAACCACAGACGCATGGAAATTGGTGATATTGTAAAACATGTCTGTGCCACTTCCACCTTGTAAAATTAAACATTACAAGAATTCATACCGTTATATTGTAACAACAGAAGGCCAGATACGGGAGCAAAGGTATATTTTTCATTAATCAAACTGCTATTTATATATCTACACTTTATATTCGTTAACTGAGCGTATGATTTCGGTTTACATCAAAGGGTATGAAATAGAATGTTCAAATATACATCTACAAATATACATATTCTGTTGCCAATGCAGTATTGAACTGTGGGGGGAAATATTCTGTCTCTAACATCAAATAGAATGTTCAAATGGATATATCGTATTCTTTTGTTAATGCCGAATTGAACTGTGGTGGGAGTATGTGAGAATAATATTCCGGTGTGATGCAGACATTGTGTGTATCACACTACCAAAATATCATCAGTTTATTGCACTACTGTTTGTTGTTGTTGCTTTGTTTTTTTCAACAGAAAAAGACAAACTACTTATATACATCATAACGACAGACTGAATGTCACTTGTTTTTAAAATAAACAACTATGTTTAATATAGATAAAGCAATAAGAAGACGTAATTTGCCTGAATCGTGTAATGTATTTCGAATAATCTGATCACAAACGGACGTAGTGGATTATTCGGCTTATGTATTTTCGGCAAGCCATACAATGCGGGAATTTACAATATGTTAATAGTTTGAAACAATTATTATTGTTTCCTTTAATTCCTAGAGGAAGATAAAGCTTCAGCCGTGCGTCTCCATTGCGTTCAGTTCTCTGCTACAGTCTTCACCTGACTCCAAGTCTGCCCACACGTTTTCATCTCCTCTTCACATGACCTCCTCCAAGTCACCCTTGCACTGACGACCAACTCGCCGCTTCCCTTTCGGGTTCCACTCGAAAAATGGCTTGTCTAGTGATGTCACTTGATGGTTTCCTCAGAGTATGGCCAATCCACCTCCGTTTCTTCCTGCCTATTTGTTTCACAATCGGTTCCTGGTTGGTTCGCCCCCAGAGATCCCTCCCTTTTGATGATCTTTTCTGGTCATCTGATCTTGAGTAGTATTGAGCGAAGACAGCTGTTGATGAAGGTCTGTAGTTTGTTTGAGATGCTCTTTATGACGCACCAAGTCTCTGATCCGTATAGTGAGTAGCACTGACTTCACATTGGAGTTGAAAATCTGGATCTTATTCTTGATGCTGAGTGCTGTTGACCTCCACACAGACTTGAGAGTAGTGAAAGCTTGTCTTGCTTTTCCGATTCTTGCTTTGATATTCTCGTCAGTTCCACTTGCAGTTAAAACGATGCTTCCTAGGTAGGTAAGTAAAGGAGGTTGTTTCTTTCAGGTTCCTCCCATTTATGCTGGCTGATTGTTGTCTGTTGTTGTTGCTGTTCGTAGTGTTGGCCAGGAATCTTCATCACCTACTTCTGTTTTCTCTATGTTCACCTGAAGTCCTATCTTTGATGCTTCTATCGCCAACTTGTTGCTTTTCACTTGCATATCTTCCAATTTGTGGGAAATCAGACATATATCAGCGGCGAAGTCCAGATCCTCCAAGTTCTTTGTGTGAGTCCATTTTATGCCTGTTTCCTCATTGTCCGCTGTTTGTCGCATTATCCAATCTACTGCAGTTAGGAAAATCATTGGCGATAGTAGGCAGCCTTGTCTTCACTTCGAAGGATTCCGTAAGTTTCCCGTTTTGGATTACTTGGCATGCAGCATTGTCGTACAGCTGTTGGATGAGATGTATAATTGTCGGTGGCATCCCATAGTAGCGAAGTAGTTTCCAAAGCACCTTTCGATGGACGCTGTCTGTTGAAGGCCTTTTCAAAGTTTATAAAGTTGAGATAGAGAGGTGAATACCATTTCAAGCTTTGTTCAATGATGATCCGTAGTGTGGCGATTTGATCAATACATGACTTGTTTCTCCTGAATCCAGCTTCTCCCGGTCGAAGTTTTTCATCCAAGGCTTGTTTGATTCTCTCCAGGATGATGCGGCTTAGTATTTTGCTTCGGATGGACAGTTAGTTCCCTTTTATTAATTAAGGCAAAGTAATAATAAAGGAAACTTACGAAAAGTCTCCACAAGGACCGTGAACAGTGGTGGTTGACAAAGGCGAAAGAGATGGAAAAAACATCGGCGATAGGCAACACTAGGCAACTCTTCAGACTCATCAGGGAAACGGGTGGAAGAAGGCAAATCATAAGTGAGACTATTTCTGAGGAAAATGGCTCCTTAATTAGCTCTCAGGATAGACGCCTTGAACGCTGGAAAGAACACTTTGAGGAACAATTTAACTTGCCTACAGCCACACTGAGCCTCCGCTCCATCCAGTACACACCCGAATGGGACATAGACACTGACCCGCCGTCTGTAAGTGAGGTCACAAAAGCTATCTGTAATTTGAAACGAGGCAAAGCGGCAGGACCCGACGGAATTATTCCAGAGGTGTTTAAATATGGGGGTGACACTAGTATATAGTTTAACTAAGGTACTAGGTAACGTCTGAGAATCAGAGACGGTTCCATCAGATTGGGGTAAGTCACTTATTATACCGATATTCAAGAAGGGAGACAAGTCCTCATGTGATAATCATAGAGGAATCAGCCTGACGCACATAGTCTCTAAAATCCTAGACTCAGTAATCATGCACAGAATAAGCAGAACTCGGGAGGAACAAACGAGGTAAAATCAAGCGGGCTTTAGGCCAGGTAGAGGGCGCATAGATCACATCTTCACTCTCCGACAGATCCTAGAACATAGACACACTTTCAGGCGTCCAACAATTGCTTATATTTCTTGACTTTAAGGCGGCCTTCGACTCCGTGGATCGAGAGGTACTATGGCAATGTTTGACTGTGCAGGGAGTGCCAAGAAAGTACATTGCACTAATCAAGGCACTCTACTCAAACTCACGTAGCTGTGTAAGGGCTTATGGGGAATTGTCATCTGAATTGATAACAACCAGTGGTGTCCGTCAAGGATGTCCACTTTCCCCTTTTCTGTTTAACTTCATCATAGATATGCTAATGGAAGTATCCTTAACTGAACTTAACGACTTAGGAATCGACTTGTTACGAGGGAATAGTCTTACGGACTTAGAATACGCAGACGACATAGTCCTAATAGGGGAGGATGCTGACAAAATGCAGAGTCTTCTGAACACCTTGAGTAGCAATCTTCGTATGTTTGGCATGCGATTCGCCCCTGTAAAACGTAAAATCCTGCTACAGGACTGGACTACGTCAACTCATAGCTTAGTGATAGGGAGTGAAGTGATAGAACATGTTAACCACTTCACCTATTTGGGAATTTGTATCAGCACCAACGGATTGATTGGTGACGAAATCTCAGCACGGATCCAAAAAGCTCGGGTTGCTTTCGCTAACTTACACCGTCTTTGGCGTAGGCGTGACATCCGACTATCAACCAAGGGACGTGTATACTGCTCAGCAGTTCGCTCCGTCCTTCTCTATGGTGGTGAGACGTGGCCATTGAGAGCGGAAGACATGAAGAGATTGTCTGTTTTTGACCACAGATGCTTACGATCTCTTTCTCGCGTTAGGTGGTATAATAAGGTAAGTAATGTTGACGTTAGGCGTAGAGTGTTGGGCAAAAAGGGAAAATCAATCGCCGAGGCTATAAAGTTACATAGATTGAGATGGCTAGGTCACGTGCTGCGCATGCCTAACCATCGCCTCCCCCGACGGACGGGCATTACTAGCTGATATAGGTGCAGGTTGGAAAAGAGTAAGTGGTGGCCAACAAAACCATTGCATCAATCCATGAAATCCTTGACAGTTAAACTGAGTCAGGTAGGGAGATGCAGACTTCCGGGTTGGGGCCCGCCCTCGGGACTCTAAGAATCAATGGCTAGAGACAATAGGTGACATGGCTCAAAATCGTTGTCAATGGCTTACGCAGATGTATTCAGTCTCTTGTGTAATCTTTCTTATTCCTTTCTACCATTACTCATTCTGTTGATTCTCTTCACTCATTTTCTTGTCTACCTTTGTGTGCTCTTTGGAACGTGGCAACTGGAACTGCTTCACTTCGGTGCCAAGTTCTATGTTGAATCTAGACAGACAGACAGAAAGACAGAGTGGCAAATCGAACCGGTGCATATCTGTGCAAAGTTCTGTGGTGAAAGCAGTCAGTCATTTCTCCCTGCTGTTTTCAATGGGTCATTAACTGAGGTCATTTTTTCTCCTGATTAAACTTGAGATATTAATATATATTATTAGGATTCTTCTTCTGTCTATCTATCTTATTGTCTTTTTTCCCCTAAATCGCCTTTATCAATTTTGCTTTTTATTTTAGTTTCTCAAAATCCAGTTACTACTAATACCGATGTTAATTTAAAGCGGAATAATGAAATATCATCAAATACACGAATTTATCGAAGAAGTCGTGCATTACCTGGCAATATACTTACATCTGATCAAGGTTTACCGATGACGACAACAGTAACAGCAACAGTCACAACGACAACAAGTACAACACCTACGGCTGCTAAAACACTCCCTCCTGCTACTGTCAATCGTAAACCTGCACCACCTCCACGTATGATTTCATTGAAATCATCAACTATTAATATACCTACTTCACTTACAAATTCCACTTATAATACAAATGTATTATCTGAATTAAGGTAATTTTCCTTTTATTTATTTATTTGTTGTTGTTGAGTGATTCGCTGTTTGTTTGTTTGTTTTTCTAACATTATTGATATTATTGTTATTATTCCGAATGGAACATAAAGGGACTATCTTCATTCCACTCGATTCTCTGATATCGTTTCCATCTGGCTTGATAACTGCCAGCAGCGGGCTTTCCCTTGTTAAGTAGTATAATAGGGTGAGCAATATTGAGGTTTGGCGTCAAGTGCTAGGTAGGTGGGAGGGGAAATCAATAGACAAGGTTGCGAAGCAACATCGATTGAGATGGTTGGGGCATGTTTTACGCATGCCTGCCTCGCCATCACCTTCCTTGACTACAAGCTGTGTTAGCCGCTGACATAGGACTGAACAGGTTAGAAAAGAGTTAGCTAGTGGTGGTCAAAACAAAACATAACTTCATTGGATGGAGGATTTCATCATGAGCTGATATCAGCTAGAGAGCTACTGGAAAAGCTGGGAGTACTGCTAGACAGCTGTTTCGTCAGTCTGGTTTGGGACTCTTCAGCAGTACACACCCACCGGGGTTCGAAAACAGGACCCTCTGGTTGCAAGGTGAGCTCGTAGACCATTGAGCCACTGGAACCCGATCCAATGGCCCATGAATTATAACTTCTGCCAATTCACGAAATAGCGTCATTGAATCGGGTCCCAGTGACTCAATGGTTTATGAGCTCGCCTTGCAACTAGAGGGTCATTGATTCGAACCCCGTTGAGTGTGTGCTGGTGAAGAGTCTCAAACCAAACTGACGAAACAGCTGTCCAGTACTCCCAGGTTTTCCAGTGGTTCTCTAACAGTTAGTTCAAGCCAACTAGTCACGTCGGGATGGTAAGAACCAATGGAAGCTGGAGACAACTGGTGGTGATATGGCTCAAATTACTCGTTGTCAATGGATGGCACAGATGCATTCACTCTTTGTGATTTATCATGTCCAATGAAATTCTATTGTTCTTTTATATCACTACTATTCTTTTTCCCTTCTTTTGAATCTCTCCTTACTCTCTTCTTTCGCTCCGTGTGCTAAATGGAGGGGGTGTGGCAACTGGAACTGTTGCACATCTGTGCAAAGTTCTATGTTAAAAGTAATCAGTTACGCTCCAATTGTCACGATTTCTCACTGGAACTCCAGACAGGTTCACTCTGTAGTCAGTTACTACTAGTGAGTACTAGGTTAAGTGTCACGTGTGTTAGTTTGTAGGGATTTTATTGTGTCTAAGGGAAACGAGAGGACCGGTATATCCTGAACCGACGTGAAATACCTAGAAGACCTGGATTTCGCGGATGACTTATGTTTGATGTCACACAAAATCGAAGACTTACAAGCGAAAACCCACAAACTGGTCGAAGAAGCAGCAAACACAGGACTCCAGGTGAACATAAACAAAACGAAGGTTATGAAAATAACCAACCAACAGCAACGACAGCAGCAGCAACATCCAGCACTAATCACCATCAACGGGAGGGATTCGAAAGAGGTTACTTCATTCACTTATCATCAAGGGAGCATTGTCTCAACTACAGGAGGAGCGGACGAGGATGTCAAATCGAGAATCGGGAAGGCGAGAAACACATTCATCACCCTAAAACCAATCTGGAAATCTTCGTCACTCACTCAGCATCAACAACAAAATTCGGATTTTCAATACAAACGTCAAGTCAGTTGTTCTATACGGATCAGATCAGAATCTTGGCGGGTCACAAAGAATATTTACAACAGCCTGTTGCAGACCTTTATCAACAACAACTGTCTTCGCTGGCTCTATACTGAAGATCAGATGGCCGCCGGAAAGAACAACAACCAACAAGAAACTATGGGAACAAACAAAACAAGAACCAATCGCTCAACAAATATGCAGGAGAAAGTGGAGATGGATTGGACACTCGCTGAGGAGGCCGTTGGGTGACATCGCGCGTCAGGCCAACGCTTGAGTGGAACCCGAAAGGGAAGCGGCGAGTGGGACGTCGGTGGAAGGGTGACATGGAGGAGATCGTGTGAAGAGGAGTTGAAACAGTATGGACTAACATGGATGCAGGTGAAAAGTACAGCAGAAAACAGATGGAAGTGGAGACGTTCAGTTGAAGCCGTATGTTCCACTAGGATCCCAAAGGAACAATAATAATAATGTAAAGGCACATCACAGATTGATCGATATCAGTCGCAAAGTAGTAAGATGAAACCATTGTCCATCTGTTAATCTATCATCCTCTAACTTGACGCAAATATTAGGATTAAGAAAAAGCCAAAATTGACCAACGCCATGTGTAATCTAACAATTGCTTATCTTATTTTTTTTAGATATTTCTGTTTAATAAAAAAGAAGTATATTTCGAAATAAAGGTTAATGTAACAATTTAATTTTGAGGAAGGATAGATAGATGAAAAAACCGGTGGAACACATTAAGGAGGAACAGCCTTTGTAGGTAGAAAACAGAATGCATTTCAAATTCAGACAGACAGGCGCGGAAAAAAAATATTGCTACATAAAGTGTTATTTTTTTAATATCTGAAACATTGAATAAACACCCTTGAACATTGAAGCCACCTTTTTTTAAACAAAAATTTAAACAAAAAAAGTTTGATATCATTACTAGGGAGGGAGAAAGTATCAATAATAGAAAAACAAATTGGGTATCCTTCCATATACAATACACAGAAAGATACATTAGTTGCAGTTTTTGTTGTCGTTTTACTTAAAGCCGAATTCGATATTGAATAGTTGGAAGCAATCTGCAGGAAGCCCAACCATCTGGTCTAGGTTTCGTGCTAGTTGGCACTCGCCAGACAGGAACTCATGTCCCTCCAGAAATTCGAACTCGCGTCAATCACTGAGTTATTCGTGCTCGCGACTGACCTCCTGTAAGACTGTATTAGATACTTTGATTGCAAACTGGTTATTAATTATTCAATGGCCAGCACATGAATTCTAACTTCTACCAATTCGTGATTTAGGGCGAACCAAACCAACTCGTAAAAACAAAACTAACCCTGAGAAACCAAAACTATAGAAAATTAATCTGATGCTCGCTAGTGACTGACTGGCTACAGGACGGAGTTTCCTGGAGTCATTTCTAGTGAAAAGTCGTGACCAGAGAGGTCCATCCAGATGTCATGTGTGAGGATGGATGTCCCACCTACGACAATGGTTGGGGTCGCGCTAAATCACGAATTGGTAGAAGCTAGAATTTATGAGCCATTGAATCGGGTCCCAGTGGCTGAATGGTATACAAACTTTCCTGGGTTCAAACGTCCTGTAGTGGGTGCGTACTGGCGATGATTCTCAAACTAGGACGAAACAGCTAGCTGTCCAGTACTCCTTGGCTGGTTTTCAATGGTTCTCTAACTGATATCAATCCGTGATCAGCTCATAAAAACAAAACTGACCATTACAAACCAAACTATAGAAAAGTGTATAATGTGTCTAGTCATTTGTTTTGTGCAGACTGAATTCTATCAGGCAAGTTTGTAATGTGGCCACCACCATTCTAGGTGGCTCGCCATCACGAAATCTAGGTCCAAAGCTTGTTGCTGATTGTCTCTAACCATCTAATGCCAACAACTGAGAGTGCACCGTGTTTTACATGTGTTTTTGAAGAGAAACACAATGTTCAGTTTGCTCTGGTGAAAATAAAATTGTTTCATCGTCGAAATTTTTTAGACTTTCGAGTGTGTGTGTGTGTGTTAATGTATAATGTGCGATATTTGCAGATTGTTAGACACCTCAAATGATGAGTGACTACTAATATTAGTAAGTCAGTTAGCTACAACTCAGGCAATCCGGGAATAGATTCCTTAGCGTATCAAGTTATGAGATATTCTTATTAGTCAGTGGAGTCTAATAATGCTATTAAGTATGGTTACTGAACAAAGAATACTCTTTGATATTCAAGTGTTGGCTTGTAGGGATTTGATTGGTTACAGGATTTCATCATGAGGTGACATTAGTTAGAGAATCATTGGAAAACCTGAGAGTTCTAGTGAGAAGGCGGGTGTGAGGACAAATACTCGCCGAAGACATTGGCTAGGGGTCGCGCTATGTCGTGAATTAGCAGAAGTTAGAATTTTATGGGCCATTGGATCGGATCCCAGTGGCTTAATGGTATACGAGTTCGCCTTATAACCAGAAGGTCCTGGGTTCGAATCCCGGTGAGTGCGTACCGATGAAGAGTCCCAAACTAGGGCGAAACAGCTGTCTCGCAGTACTCCCAGGTTTTCCAATGGTTCTCTAACTAATGTCACCTCATGATGAAATCCTGTAAAGAATACTCTTTTCGATAACCTGCTCTTCATAAGGTTCTACAGTTATATATACATAATAGTGAGTGAATCCATTAGTGTCATTATCAACATCAATGTTGTTTAAATAACATCGAATCAATAATAATAATAATATGAATAGGTTACAGTTCAGTAGCATCAACGTAACAATACACTGAATGTCAGAAAAATTAGGAAACATAATAATACAAATTCATGAATTTATATGAATTCACGAATGTCATCTACCAATTGAACTACGCTTGTGCTGGAGCGAGTTATATTGGCCGTTGCTCTAGGGACTTGATTTTTCGTGCTCACTCGAGGACATTTCCCAGTATGGCTAAGTAAAGGTGTAGTCAAAACCATTTACAGTTCGATATTGGACCATCTGGTGCGAACCGGCCACAAAGCTAACCAGCGTTGAAGAATCCTTCTCTATCATCATCTACCAGGTGCCTAATAAATTGCCAAAAACATCGAAGCACCTAATGCTCCAAACCACAGAGGCTATTGCAATTCGCCTCAAACAACCAGTGCTCTGTGTTCAAAAGAAACAAGTCCAGCCACTACTACTGCCCTGACCGGCCTTCAGTAGAGATTATAAATTCATGACAATCGCTATAATGTATTTATAATTGTAGAGCCTGATGAAGAGCAGGTTATCGAAAAGAGTATTCTTTGTTCAGTGTCCATTCTTTTGAAAATTTTAATGGGCA